TGTACAGGTGTATGACGTCATCCGTCCACACAGCAAATGTTTATTTCAGCATTAAGGGATACTATAGTCACCAAAACAACTTTAGCTTAAAGGACCACTATAGTGCCAGGAAAACATACTTGTTTTCCTGGCACTATAGGGTCTCTAGGTCCCTCCCGCCGGGCTCTAGGGGGTGGAAGGGGTTAATCCCTTACCTTTTTCCCCACGCGGGGAACTCTCCTCCTCCTTTTCGCGTCATCGGCTAAATGCGCATTCGTGGCAAGAGCCGCGCACATTCAGCCAGTCCATAGGAAAGCATTCTCAATGCTTTCCTATGGACGCTGGCATCTTCTCACTTTGAAAATCAATGAGACAGCCACTAGAGGCTGGATTAACCCATAGTTAAACACAGCAGTTTCTCTGAAAACTGCTATGTTTACAGCAGAAAGGGTTAATCCTAGATAGACCTGGCACCCATACCACTTCATTAAGCTGAAGTGGTCTGGGTGCCTAGTGTGGTCCTTTAAAGGGACTCTCCAGTGCCAGGAAAACATATCCATTTTCCTGGCACTGCAGTGCCTCTCTCCCTCCCACCCCCATCCCATGTTGCCAAAGGGGTTAAAACCGCTTCAGTGACTTACCTGATTCCAACGCCGATGTCCCTTGGTGCTGGGTCAGGCTCCGCCCATGAAACTCCCCAGCCGACATGGGAGACCTAATGCGCATGCGCGAAAATGACTGCGTGCGCGCAGTAGACCTCCACATAGGAAAGTATTATCCAATGCTTTCCTATGGGGATTCCGACGACGCTGGTTAAAGTTGGTGGGAAGTTGGAACCCAGTCCACATTAATATGCAGAAGTAGTCTGTGTGACTGGAGTGTCCCTTAAATGAAGCAGTTTTGGTGTATAGATCATGCCACTGCAGTCTCACTGCTCAATGCTCTGCCATTTAGCAGTTTAATCACTTTGTTTATAAGCCGTAGGCACACCCCCTTGCATTTGACTTGCACAGCCTAAACACTTCCGGTAAGGTCATCTAATGTTTACTCTTTATTGCACAGTCTTTATAATTTATAATTTCTCATCTCCTCAGGAGCCTCCTGTATGTAATTAAATTCCATTTACAGAGCAGAAGATAAAAAAAATGTTAGATCTAATTGAAAAGGAAACCATTTTGTTTTCATGGAGTCTGTTTCAGTCACAGCCAGGAAAAGGTGTGGCCTGGGGTACATGGACAGAAATAAAAGTGATTTAGCACCTAAAGGCAAAGAATTGAGCAGTGGAACTTAAGAGGCATGCCCTGTACACAAAAACTGCTTCATTAAGCTATAGTTGTTTTGGTGACCGTAGTATCCCTGTAAAGCAAAAAATACTTTAATTAGTGTAATTACCTATATAGCGGCTGCAACAATAGTGCAGGTTTTTTTTTTTTATATATATGTACTAAACATAAATTGTTTTTTACATAGAAGTGATGAAAGATACTAAAATTAACAATGATTTAAAGGGACACTAACCCTTCATATAGAGGAAATGTTAGCAAAACAGTGGTATCCACTATGTAGATAATAGTCACTCACATTAGATGGAGCCTACAATGACTGGCTCAAATCTCAATAACATGTTCCCCTCATCAAGGTGGTACAATACCTATACCTATGGTTATCAGTATATACTCCAAAAAAGAAAGACAGGATCACACATGGTGTAGTATTTGAAAAGCAGACACAATATTCTTGCCTCTTGGTTAAAAGCGCATGCAATGCCAGTTTGGGGTGACGCCTATCCCCCTCCTGTACCATAGTTAAATGATGTAGATTCCACTAGATACGCTCGTAATTTGTATTTATTACATATTAATCAAAAAATATAAAAACACATGACCATTAAAAACAAATATTTAAACATGGAAATGTCAAATCTAAGTTGGGACGGTTGTACTTTTAAAGTTGCCTATTTCTTCACTGGATTCAATATACTATTAATTTTGATGGTCGCAGGGTGCCATGCACAAAACAGCATCCCTCTATATGATGCTACTTATAACGTACGTTCCCTAAAAATGCCTATTTTTCATGTATCATCCTTACACCGCAATTTGAGTTTTTCCTCGATGTGTTTTATACGGGGAATAAATCTCTCTCTCTGACTTATGTCAGAACTTCTTTCTGTTTAAATGAACACTCCAATGTTAAAAAGAAAGTTTCCATTTTTAGGAGATCTCCCCCCCCCCTCCCCATCTTCTAAAAATGGAGTTACTCACCTATAATCCAGCGGTGGAAATAGTGATGGTCTCCCTGGTAATCTATTACTTCACATAGAGGCAATGGCAGCTGTATGCCGGCTCTGCTTCTCCATTAGAAGGCCTTGCGTCCTCCTTGAGGGAACCTTGACAACCGAGAGACGTTACCAAGGTGGTTCGTAAAAGTGTGATTTTTCTTGAAATTGGCACTTTTATAAAATAAGAGGGGAAAAAAACGTTAACCTCTAAATTACTAAAGTAAGCTAAAGTTCTCTTGAGGTTTGAAGTGGTCCTTTAATCTACTCCGAGACTTCAGACCTTTCGTTATTTTATGCAGTGTTTTAAAGATGGAGAGATTCACTGGTTCCATTGTATATAACTATTGGCTATTTCAGCAGCATGCTAATTAAACTATGCGTGTCCAGAGTAGTGCTTTCTGTTCCAGTGTTTGAACGCAGAATGCCAAAGATCTGCAGTGTCTGTCTCTTCAGCCTCAGGAAATATTCTTTGTCTGAGCGTTGGGCTTCGTTCGCTAGATGTGTTTGTTTTCTTTTAATTTGAGCAGGGCAGATGATACTCCATTACCTGTGTTTTCTATCCTTTAAATGTCAGGGTGTGCATTCTTTCTTTTTTTTCTCTATTTTGTTTAACTGAAGAAAATAGCTTTTGTTTCCAAGAGGAATAGTTCTCAGGTAATAGAATAGGATTCTCCAGATTTATAAAAGGCTGCCGCTTGTGACCTGTTCAGTAACAGGATTGTAGAAAGGAGTCTGACTCTTAGCTGAGCTTGAACGGTCAGCCAAAAATGCCATCATCTGTGGAAAGATCGGTTTGTTCTAAAAACCTTTTCTCTCTTGTTTTAGGGCAGCAAGAGGATAAAATAGGTTGACCTCAGACCATGAAAGCTCAGCTTATATCTGTTACATAGTGTGCCTCTCTCTTCTCCTGCTAGCTGTCTGTCTTGCACAAATAATGTAAATTAGAGGGAACTGGTCCTTGCTCAAAACACTGTATTTAAAGCAGAATGATTTGAGGAGCAAGTCTGATGTTTGTAGGCGCTAAGGCGGAAGTTGATCTGTAGAGTTTTAAACAAAGCACGGTGGAGCTAGCAGATTTGTAGAGTTCTAAACAACACATTGTAAACATAGACATATTATACATGTTGTATAACATGTCTATGATTGTAAAGGTAGCAGTTTATTTTTATTTATTTATGGTACGGCAATGTAGTTTATAGGCATAATGACTGTCTCTTTCTTCTATCCATGTGTTGTCATTTTGTTGCTGAATGTTTTGTGAATGGCATAGATTGCAGCTCATACTGGGTTAGATGAATTTGACCTGGAACTGAAGCCAGGCAGTCTTTTAATAAATCCTGATTTGTCTAGATGAAGAGAAATGGCTACATGAACTGATTTCTCATGGCTGAGACTCTTTACCAGTCCCCGCATTTCATTGATACTCCCACAATCATTACCTAATGTGACATCCATTGCCCAATCATAGATCCACGGCCAAGTTTACCTTCAGCGTGTCTTTAAATATCAGGTAATTGAAATGTTTTGGGACTAAACCAACTTGTTAATGTACGATGCCTCTACCTGGCACTCATCCATGAGATATAATTATAGATCCTACATCTCAAATACATTGTACTTGGAATACACACTGTTCACCTCAGGCATGTATATTTCAGAATTTCTCGAGAATTCTTTGTGCTTTCTCATGATTCCTGGGGAGAGAGAGATTAGTTTTCTTCCATTCCCTGAAATCCATAGGATCGTTCCCATCACAATTTTTTTTTTTTTTTTTTTTTAAACTAGGTTAAAATGATTACAAGCCCCCCTCCCCACTCCTGTGATAAACAGGACAGTGTCTAGTCTCTGTAACAATGCAAGAATGTAAACTTCCCTGCCGGTCTGTCAGGTGTACAGAGTTCCAGGGAAAGATTTAACACCAGGCGGGGTCCGTACTAAGAAATGCAGCCAAGGGGGGAAGTGACTCACTGTCTCTGAATGAAGCGAGCGAAAAGGAAAGTGTCTGTTAAAGGGACGCGATCATCTCAAAATGACCATTTTACTGAGAGATTCTTTTCATCCGTAGGGCCCCCCTGTGCGACTGCTGACAGGAAGCGCCACATGACAAGAAAATAAACTGTTAAAATAACACTCCTTCTGAACATTTCTCAACTATTTAGCTAGTCATAGCTGAAAAAATGTCTTAGTAAGCTGCTACAAAATAATCTGAACATTAGTCGTATAGGAGGAGGACATATTAACTTTAAAAACTACGATTTGAGAGCTTCAATGGACTGAGACCTGTTTATAGGTCAGTCCGTCTTAGGACTGCAGTGTATTAATAACAGTGACATGTTTATGGATCAGTCCGTCCTAGGGCCGCGGTGTGCTTATGGCCGTAACATGTCTATGGGTCAGTCTGGGCTAGGGCCGCAGTATACTAATGGCCTAGACGTGTTTTATAGGTCAGTCCCTCTCTAGGGCCGCAGTATACTAATGACGGTGATATGTTTATGGGTCAGTCCTTCCTACGGCCGCAGTATTCAAATGACAGTGACATTTCGATGTGTCAGTCCAATGTAGGGTGGCATACATCCCAAAATGTAGCATGCTGATCTACATCTTGTTTTACATGAAGAAAGTCCTGCATAATTGGCGGGCATGGGCCGTGGACAGCCACGAGTGGTATTTTTACATGGTAGCCATGAGTAGAATTGTATGAGTGGTATTGTTACATGGCGGCCACGAGTGGTATTGTTGCATGGCGGCCACGAGTGGTATTGTTGCATGGCGGCCACGAGTGGTATTGTTGCATGGCGGCCACGAGTGGTATTGTTGCATGGCGGCCACGAGTGGTATTGTTGCGTGGCGGCCACGAGTGGTATTGTTGCGTGGCGGCCACGAGTGGTATTGTTACGTGGCGGCCACGAGTGGTATTGTTACGTGGCGGCCACGAGTGGTATTGTTACGTGGCGGCCACGAGTGGTATTGTTACGTGGCGGCCACGAGTGGTATTGTTACGTGGCGGCCACGAGTGGTATTGTTACGTGGCGGCCACGAGTGTGGTGAGGGCCACCGGATTACTGCTGCAGTATAGCACACAAACATATTACGGTCACAATGAAATTTGGGAGTGAGCAAAGGGCAATGACGTAATATAAGATATAAGACTCTGGGGAACTTTTTTATTTTTGTTAGTTTGTTACTGTGTTTGTTGGTGGCCATTAAATGACAACATGAAAATACTCTGAATGGGCACCACCTGTGTTTTTGAAGCATCATATTGTCCTTGGTGATTGTGGCTTGTGAGGGTTCATTTGCTGCTAGAAAAGAGGGACATTTGGATGGGAAAGAGGGAACCAAAGGATTTGGGACCAAAATAAGGACTGTCCTTCCTAAATAGGGACACTTGGGAGGTATGATCATAGTTTACACTCTGTGGATCTGTTAAGTTTTAAAAAAGTGCCCGTCTAATGGGTGGCCCTAGTATCTAAAGCACTGAATGAAAACCGCATAGTTGCATATTGTTTTTTTGGTAAAAAATGTGAATTGTATGATTCATCTCCCTAGATATAGCAGGACAGGGTTTGTTTGTATATGTTATGTTATGTTGATTCAAAGTCAGTCTGTGTAACTGTTTCACAACTATCCCTGTATTGTCTCTAGTCTTTCGTGTACAATTACAGGGTAACATTGTTATGCTGTAAAGATTTTGCCATATTGGAGGTGGATTAATCTAGAGGTTTAATTATATGAACAATCGTGGTGCTTCTGTTGATTTGCTAATATATGTTTTAATGTATTTTATGCTATTCTCCAATTCACCTGGAAATGTGTGCTGGCAGCAAAGTGGACCCTGTGTAAAAACTCTCTCAAACTACAGCAGTGAGAGACTCGTCTTCATTTAGATTATCTGTCGCTTTAGCCGACAACTGGTCTAAAAACCATGGTGCTAGTGTCTCGGTGACAACACGGTACAGCTTGCTCTCGTCATCGTGAAGCATGGCAGCTACCGTGTAAAGTATGAAAACTACGTTCTAATTAAAAATGTGTCTTTTTATCACCATGGTGAGAGGTGTTTATCCGCTAAATGTCAAGAATTGATGAACTGAAAGCCTCCTGGTGAAATTTTCACCAAAAATATACAGATGTCGGGAAAAGAAAATCTCAATTTGCAATTTTTTAAATTTTGTAAAATCCATTTTTTCCCCCCTTTCTCTAAAGTGTACACGTTGGTTATCAAATCCTTACAATTTGCTGTTTATTGAATGGATTTCAAAGTGCTCTAATTAACAGTCTATAAGAATCCGTCTTGTTTTAGGGGTCCGGGAAGAGATTTTTATGAATGATACATTCCACCGTGTGCGTGTTTTATCACCTGGGGCCCTTGCGGTATGGCCAGCTGTGGGTTAATGTATGTACCTGACATTCCTGCATTCGCACCTGGCTGTGTCTGGAGAAGGACTGGGATCATGGAGCGTCTCTTGGAGTCTGAGTGGGAGGACCTGGAGCGGAAACTCCTTGTCTGTAATATAACAATGCCATGATGTCGAGGCAGGAGACTAAACATGGATAATGTGTGCAGTCTATGTTAACCCCTGCACTGCAGGCAGGAGTCTAATCACTGATAATATGCAGGTTTCCTGGCATGATTATAACACATCCCTGTACCCCTTGTTAACCTTTGCAGTGTGGGCAGTTGTTTAAACACTAACCGGTGCTGTATGTAGACTAATGCATGCAGTCTGTGTCCCTTGCTGTGTTTTAGAAGTGATTAGAGCATTCAGGGATAATGAAGTGGTGATAAGAGATTTTACAGTTTTGTGGGAGCCGCAAAGACGTAGTTACCCGGCGGATTGGTGCTGCTGTCTGATACATCACTACACATATATTGAGTTTCTAGAATAAGTCCTGTTTGTAAATATTTACAGGCCTGCGACGAGCTTTAGATGAGTGCAATAAATGATATAATGTAGGTTCTGCATCCAATGCCGCTTATTCTTTGATTTGTTGCACGCGTAGAGACGTATGTAATTAACGTAAACATTTGCAGGTTAATTACTAAACTCCAAATTTATTATACCTTTTTAATACAGGCCTGCCAAGGTATCTAGCAATTCACCAGATATCCAGCTCTTAAGGAGTTAAAAAAGGAAGGGAATGCTCTTAGGATTCTACTGAAGAATGCGATTAAATGTTCTGTAATACAGAGCTAGGTATACTGCATTAAATAAGAAGGGTCCGTCATTTATAATAAAATGTGTCCAAATAAAGTGTTTTTTATGAGTAAAAGCAGATTTGTGACCTAATGTTACATTGTGTTAATGGCGAGCTAGTTCCTGACTAGTTAATATAAAGATCTGCTGCTGTTGGTGGGATCCACACTCTAGCAGTGCAGGAGTTAAACCCACCCCAGTATAAGGAGTAATAGTGTATTGCCAGTGATGGGGATCACTGTTTTCCCTTTAGAATTTCAGCCTCTAATCAGCGGTTTGGTATGGTAGGAATGTCCTGTGTGTATCAGTCAGGAGCCCCTCCCAGTCTGAGCGACTGCACGGGATCCCCAAGATAAGCTGCCCCCCCTTTCCCTGTACCAGTGTGATCCCACACTATTATTTTCACATCTTAACCGAAAATAAACTTTAATCAAAACCCTTTTCGTATGTGAATACGGGGTGAAAGGACGAACTTTCGAAGACATTAGGAATGTGGATAGAAGCTTTACATTCGAAAATCACTTTGAATTGCGAAAATTCTCACGTTGGCGAATAACACTGTATGTTAAATTTCTAGATGCATTCCAGCCAAACGTGCTCATGTTTACTTGTAATTCTTTGTAATTCCAACATTTTATACATGGGGAATATGTAGATGTTCTACAAATCGATTTATCTCCCAGGCAGAATAGGCATCCTTGGGGCAACAGATATAGGTTTCTTTTGCCAAGTGGTGTTTGTGGGTCATCATAAGCTGGCTGTTGGACACATTGTGATGATGGTGTGTACGTTCAATAGATTAAGTGACATTCCAAGCTCCAGTTGAACCCACCATCCCCCCACCCAGTAATGCATAACTAAATACAAATACAGTAGAAAAGCAGCCATCTTTGCATGCAGAACACAGACTTCTCAGTTTCCTGAATCCTTTATTTATTGATTGATTGATTGAAATTTCTGTAAGTAGTTTCATTCATGAAACAAAAAGTAAAATGAAGAAACAAAGACACAATTTTAATAGCAGTTGTCAGCTGGCTTGTATTGGATTGCCACATAGTTTTATTCCTGTATGGGTAAACTTGTGATCTTACATGTGCATGTATGAAAGCTATCTGGGTGCCAATCATACTAAGTGTATGGTGTGTCTGAGATTGCAATTCCCTTTATATTCTTTTTGTCCTTATTTTATACAGTATTTGTGAGTGGGGAGTCCTAAACTGGACTGCTTTTTAGATTTAACTTTATAGAAATGATGCATTTTTTTTATTTAGTCCTTTTACTCCAGCAATACATTTATTTATTTTGAAAGCGTACATAGGACTATCTAGCCAGCGGTAAGGTATATCTTTTAGGTATACAGTATGTATATTCTGTGATACACTCAGAATAGAATACCCATTGGAGTGACAGGGACAGTGTCAGTCTGTCTCTCCTCTCCATTGTGCCTGTTTATTGCCCTTTTCACATGAGATATCTCGAATGGCATCTCCCTATATGTCTCCTCCTTCCGTCTGCCTCATACGTTTTTTTAAACCTAGTATACGTAGGATCTACAGTTCATAGCACACAAGTCTCATTTTAAGCTCGTCTGAGCAGGGTCATCATCAACCTATTGTTCTTGTCAAAATCATTTTTGTTCTTAAACTCCCCTTAATAATATTGTAAAGTGTGTAGACTTTGTATTACAAATGGGCTTGTTGTAGCCCAAGACACAACTTACTTCTTTCACTCTGAAGTAAGAGGAGACCACTGCACCAACATGTGGGAAAAAGTTGATGTAGTCAGCCCAGACGATGTCTGAGTGACGGCTCTAGAGCATGTCCTCTTCCTAACAATGATTTTATTTTTGATTTCTTTATTTATTTTTACAGTTCGTTCCAATCTCAGTCACTCTACTGAAAGTGTCTGCACTGTGTTGTATTCACCATATACTTTGAAATCATGCAGAGTTAAGATCAATAGATTGACCTTTAATCTAGGCATTCACTGAATCCGTACTAAACTGCATCTGATCTAGTCATCCAAAGGATTTGTGAATGATTGGACCATGTTAAAACGCCTCCACGCCGTCACGTTTAATCTTTTGCACACCCCTACTATTGCTGTTAATCTAAAGGAGAGCTGAAACCCAAATTTAATTTCCATTCCATCGTCCTATTCGTTACTCCGAAATCAGATTTCACCCTTTATCAACAAGTTATTAAAGGAACACTCCAACTGCCATAACAACTTAAACTCGTTTATCCGCAAACAGCAATTTTAACTCATCCTACGATACAAAATTGATTGATAGCTGGCTACAATTGAACCAATATGAACATTGTTTTTTTTCAGCCGTTTGAGTGCAGCGCAAATGGCAACCACCTGGGCTCTTCATAAAGGGTACCCAGATCACTTTATCGTATTGAAGTGGTCTTGCTGCAGTGTCCCTGTTCCCTTACCCCTGCAATGTTTACTGTTAGAATAGATCCGTGTGAATTCAGTAAGTTTAAGGGTTTGATAAACCTGCAAAAACACACATTCTATTCACAACTATAAATTGCTGATTTTCTACTTGACCCTGGAGTTTTAAAATTAGAATATGCAGATTTGGTGAAACGCACCAGATTTACTCTGGATATGCATTTTCGTAAATATTACAATTTGCACATTGTACATAATTTTACTAATCCGCTGTGCGTTTGGAACTTTGTGAATAACTTCAATAGTCTCTTAAATATGTCATTTTAAATCCTATTCACGCCAAACAGAGGGTGATTAAGAATCTTAAAATGCATTGCTTGGGGGACAAAGGGCCAGAAGGTTTGGAATTTTGGAATCCTGCTTTGAGCCAGTGTTTTGAGTGATGCATAAAGTTAAAAAAAAAAAAAAAAAAAGGAAC